GGAGCAATAGGCTTCGGGATTTACTTTGAACGGATTGTCTGCTTTGTATTATTTATATTATTGAGGCGTTGATCGCTTTGATGTAGAAGTGACTACGCGCTCGACATGTAACCTCAAAACACTTAGTAGGTGAGGCAGGGGGTGTGATACTCATCCTGGTCCGGAATGCGGACGCGTACAGTCAAATCGGTGGAGACAGCCGTGCCCAGGAACGATTGCCGGATCCAGATTGTCCATTGTGAATGTAGACCCCAAGCCTTCTTCAGACCCAAGCGGTTCCAAAAGTATTTGGTTACTAAGAGAGTCTGGAAAGAATGACAGGTATAGAAAACGTCAGGGGTTGGAGCCCAGCTGAGAAAAGGCTCAGGGGTGGGAGACAGTCGGGGAGCATTTCATAAGATAAATGTTGGTGAATATGTACGATAAGTTGATTTAATAATCGCAGGGTGATTGTCTAACTAGAATTATTAGATTATCGGTTTCAGAACGTCTGTTTGTACCCGGTATGAACTTAATCCAGTCTGACCTTTCGTTTGGTTCTGACAGCTTTTTCTTCTTCATTTTACTTCTTTAATTAACCAATTTTCAGGAAGGGAGAGGCGACCAATTAGAGGGCTGCCATACAATACACACATAATGGAGAAAGATAGGGATGGGTGGGATTCGAACACATATTCCTAGGGGTGATAATTTGGTGATGGTACAACCGGGCCACCCCAACCACAATAAAATGAGTCACTACAGATGACAACTGTCAGTATACGAAGAATGACAAGATAAACATATAATAAATTACCGGTGCGGGATGAAATTTAACGAGAGAACATGGTTTCGTACATCACCTTCTGCGCTTGGTGTCGCGCAGACCAAAACAGATAAAGGAACATGGGACAGTGAAGTACACGATGAAAACTGCGTCCGTGAACGAGACGACATTGGGTGAACTGAATGTAACAGTCAAAAGAACTGAAAACTCCTCTAAATTACCTCGCACTTCCTTATCTTTCTTCGCCATTCTCTCGTGCATTCTTTCCGACAGTGGTTTTCATGTCGGTGAATTTTCTATTCTGAACCTTCTATTTCACCTTTTTTACGGTGAAGCATATCTATTGAACACACACTTCAATTGCTTTGCTCTTATATTTAAATGGGATTCGGTGCTTTTTCTTGTTTTATTGCGAACGAAGTTTCGATTGGACGTTCTTTGTTAGACTAACCGTTGCTTTCGGTTATATTCAACTGCTTTTGGCTGTAACGCTCAAAATTATTTTGCTTGATCTGTTGAAGCGTGCAGAATTTTCCTATTAGTCCAGAATTATCTGAACGGTAATTCGAATCACTCATTTTCTTATTTACTTTTTATTACCGCAGATATTTTCTGTGAATATTTGTAACATTTTGGCTGGATAATGAATCAGACTCACTATCAGAGGTATGACTGCTTTATGTATTTGTGATTAATCCAAAAGTAGTACCGTAGATTATTTTTGGATCGACTTGATTCTCGATAATTTAGGCTACGCGTTGCTCTGAGATTTGTTTATTGCTATCCAGAACGAGCGAAGGGTTATCTGATTGAACGCATACGGACGAGGTCGTTTTCATTTCGCTTGGACCAGGACAATTGCGTTTTGTTCTTTACACTAGGTATAACTGTATATGGAAAGTTATAGGAGTAAAATGTGAGCACATCTGGTGCATCAGTATGTGTCACAGATAGGGAAACCGGATTAGTGACTGGGGGTTGGAAGTATAAAGGCGGTTGTTGATGAGTGTTGTAGGCTTAAAACACATTTACCATAGGGTGTCATTTCCGCTTCTGTAGTTTTTAGCCTAAGAATATGTACATATATAAAGTGAGAATAAGTCCTACAAGACGTTGGTAACAAAGCGTCTATTAGAGGTCAGTGATAGGGAGGAGAGTTTTGTGTTTGATGGTTGACATTACTTATTTCAAGCATTCACCCAGTGTGGTTGATTGCATTTCTCCCTTCAACCCTAACACCGCGTTGTGGCAACTTCAAAGGGGCAACATCCTAATACCTACCCCTATGTACAAGCAAACTCATATCACTTACGATCGGATGCCAGTAACGTACAGCACTAAGCGTCACAATTTTTCGCAAGTTACAGCAACCGCTGTTAACCAAAACTCCCACACCGTAACTCAATCTTCCCTNCCTTTGAGGGAGAAATCGAAATGTGGTAGTCAAAGGGCTACCCGAACCGTTTATTGAAGAAGACAAGCAGAGGGATTAAGCTGTACGCTATCACGTCGCGAACATGTTTAGGCTGATAGAGATTCCAGAAGATGTTGTCATGAAGAGATTGTTCAGGCTGGTGAAATGGTAGAGTCGGGGCAATACACACCCTAGTCCCACTATTGGGGTTTGCAAATCCCCGAGATAGGTTCCTTGCTACGGCGGGTATATTATCAACAAAAAAGAGAGGANGTGATAAAAGTAAACCGCACTTAAGCCCGAGTAGAGCTGTGAGCGCACACGGAGGAGGCTCACCAAGACTGCTGATATAGAAGCTAGGTGACACGGGAACAAAAAGCCCGTACGAACGCGTTAGAACATCAGGATGCACAAGCTGCATACGCCACACCTGCGGTCGCAACTTCGTACTTACCACCCAGGGAACATTAACGGGAGGTACGCCAAGACAACCAACGGATATAGGGTCACGAGGGAGGGGACCTAAAAAAACGGAGGAGCTACTCGGGACTAGTTACCGAGCACCATACCGTCACTTCCGATACTGGCACCAGAGTACTGAGGACGGCTCCCTTCCATGCTGCTTATACTAACACGGCAAGTTTAGGAACCAAATGGTGCAAACTGAGAGCGCGGCTGCACAATGCCGACGCGATTGCAGCTACCGAAACTTGGTTAAGAAAAGATGAACGAGTTAGTCAAATAGCCCCATCGAACTTTATCATCTGCGGGAACGATAAGGACGACGGCAGGATTGATGGAGGAGTGATGCTACTCATGGCAGATCAGTGTGACAACAAGAAGGGCAAGCGACTGATTAAGTCTATTATACAGCACTTGAAACCCATGTAAAAGTAGGACTGTCCATAACCTGTTTATACCCGGGACCGTCCTCCGACGTAGATGAGGACAATGAACTGCGACAGTTTATGACGGACGTTGCTAGAGACTCACCAAAACTCCTTGTCATGGGCGATTTTACCGCTCCGAAGATAAACCGGCAAACCTGGGTTGATCCAAGAGGGTTATTTGGGGAACGCCTAACTTCAACACCTTACGAGCATGCAATAGTACAGCATGTAGACCAGAAAACCAGAGAGCTGATCAGGCTTAGTCGACATTAGGCCTAGTTATAACTCGGTGCTCAAATGATATCGATAAGATCGAAATGGAAGCACCGTTAGTGTAAAGCAATCGTACTGTGGTTCGTCTATTGCACAGCCTAGAAGGGGCCTGGGTGCCCGACAAGAGGGGAAGGAACTTTAGCAGAATGAACCAAGTAGATCTTATCGGGGAAGCGTCGTCCGTGAACTGGATGGTGGAACCGAGCACCGTTCAGGCCCTGTGGTGGGGGGGGGTGATTAGGCGGAACCTAATAAAACTCACCATTGAAGTGCACATTGAGTGGTAAATACCACTCAGTTGCCCATTGATGGACCTTATCCAGGTTGTTTCACACTTAGGCGTCAATCGGGTCAATGAATTTTCTGTCACCAGTGAAGCACGGGTTTCCCAAATTCTGATTGACGTCATCTACGTAGAGTAGGAATAGTAAGGGCACAAGGACTGACACTTGAGGTACCCCACTATGCATGTACCCAATGGCATGCGACTAGTTATACAGGTCTGATCGAAATTGAAGCAACAACGGATTCAGCTGAATTTGAAAAGCTATAGAAGCTCTAAAGCGTAGGAATGTTTGTGGGTAGCTTGACTCATCATTCAGAGATGTGCAGGTTCACGAAGCTTATCCGACGTCGCAAACGCTTCCTCGTGGTAAATCCCTCCAGCAGGGTATCGGAAAAGTCAAAGAAGTTGAGGAACCGTGCTCCAGGAAAAATGAACAGTAGGACACTATCAAAATGTGGGTTTTAAAAGTGGAGTAAATCAGGACAAAAGGAAACAAAATAACTAGTCTGAGGGTACTCCTAAAGATGGAGATCCTCCAAACACTTCCTTACAACACTGGTCGGNGGTCGGGACGGAGCTTAAAGACGGCAACTGCCCCTGCCGCTACCACATCCGTAGGTACCTTGTTCCAGGCGTTAATCACCCTGCACGAGAAAAATTGTGCTCTGGTGGTCGTACTTGCACTGGGTTTGTCGAGCTCCCATGTGTGCCCCCTTAGTGCTGAACCTAAAGAGGGGTTTCTCAGTTGTCTTGAATCCTTTTATCAATTTAAAGGTTTCCACTAGACCCCCTCCCATCCTCTTTCTTTTGAAGAACAGCTTCAGCCTACGAAACCTCTCGTACGTAGCTCAGGTTCCTAAGTCCTACGAAGATTTTCGTGAGGTGACGCTGTATACCCTCTGGTAGTCGTGTGTCCCAAACCAGTACTGTTGCTCATGCCTGGATGCAATACTCCAGTTGTCCGGAAACTGTAATTTGTCGCCCCGTGGTTCGTGCCATATCGCAAGCTAGCGTCACCACACTCGGCTCCCTGCTCAAGAACTCACCTCACGTGGGGTCAGCGCCTCCACGAACATGCACAAATTCAATTTTGGAAAAAATAGTAGAACTGTGAAGTGACACCGTCATGTGGTTTATGTCAGTAAACAGCTGAGGTAGTGAAGCACGAGGATTGAGGTTACTGACCGAGGCGATGGAATTTCGGTTTTCGTGTCAAAGAGAAGCCTAGCGGCTGCATAATAAGGTGAGATAGAATAAGCGGCCAATATGAGATGGTAGGCCGCAACTAAAGTGCATGTTTAGTGATGCGAACCACAAGTGTCTGTGACGGACAATGGATCTCAGTTCTGTGCAACCAAAATGAAGCTTTGGATGGACAGCATCGGTTGCCGACATCTTCGAACTACGCCTCGTCACCCCTGTTCGAACGGAGCGGCAGAGAATCTGGTCAAAACTGTCAAGAGTGCAATTGCGTCTGCCAATCCTAAAACGCTGCATGAGTTGGAAACGTTGGTGGACAACTTCCTACTCCAATACCGAAACGCAACACATACAACCACCAAGGAGAGCCCGGCAATGCTTTTTAAATCCAGACGCTTGCGATCCTCCCTACAGTGCCTCGACTCCAGTATCGTCGTATACTTCCGTGGTAATGATTTGCGACCCGCGTCTGGTATAGTCACACGACAACTGGGTCAAGACATGGTGGAAATTACCGACTTGAATGATGCTACTGTGCACAAGCGACACATGGACCAAGTCCACTTCAAATCATCCACGGACCAGCGGCATCAAGAGACAAGCGAGGGAGACAGTCAGTTACATACCCCATCAGCACATCCGACGGAGCCGCATCAGTCAGATATGCAGAGACAACCAATCGAAACACAAAGACACCGCCAGGAACAGACGGAGCCAACGATTGCAGTCCGCAGATCTAGCCGTCAGGCGAGCCAGATTGATGAGGCACTCTTGAGGAAAGAGAGTTGTGGTGATCCAGACTTCCGTGACTGCAATCCACGAACGATCAGGTACAGTTTCATGTCATCCGATCACCGTTCAGGAAGCTCGACCGGGTGAACATGACATCCGAGTTAGCACATACGATATGTCGGTGCAAACGGTTACGTGATTAGAGGATGCTCGTTCAACCAATAANCAATCCATTCACGACCAGGTACAGTTTCATATCATCCAATCACCGTTCAAGAAGCTCGACCAATGGTACACCGGGCAAACATGACATCCGAGTTAGCACATACGATATGTCGGTGCAAACGGTTACGTGATTAGAGGATGCTCGTTCAACCAATAATATGGACTATTAAATTCTATAAAACGTGATCTAATTCCCTCAATGAACATAAGCATTTGCTGCTATCAATTCCTCGTGTATTTCATTGGTGTCCGAAGTTCGGGTTGGAGCCAAATCAGTTCTGAGCAGTACAGTACGGATTCTCGTATTCCTAAATTCAATACTACTCCGATTATCACAACCTGCTAGGTAGAAATCCTTGCTGGAAACGAGAAATTAGGTCATTGACCATAAGATGCTTCAGGATTTCATCTTTTATGAGACGCTCGAAACTTTGCTGTGGATGCTGACAAGAGAAATGGGACGATAGATAACAGGGAAATGTCTACCTCCTTTTCTGTAGATGGGGCAAATAACAGTTTCCTTCCATCTAGTGGGAAAGATTCCCTCACCCATACTGCGTTGGAAGAGAAGAGTGTACAGGGCAGCTAGTACACCAGTAACCTGGGGTGTATATTGTCAGGTCCCATGGAGAAGTAAGAATTAATGCTCCGGAGTGTCCTTTCAGTCTTATCTTGTTAGAAAACGATGGATCCCAAGGATGAATTTGTATCTGATGGCTTCAGCATAAGGTGGTTGAGCACCGTAGGGGAGTTGACTGTTTTCTGGAAGTGTGATTGGAAGGTATCCGCCATCTCTGTTAAGGATCATGCAATTGATCCGTCTCGGTTAGTAAGAGCTATGGGACAGAGAGAGGACTTACGCAAGTTATGGATGTACTTAAAAAAGAAAGGATTTTGGTTTCGAGCATTGGTAAGGATAGCTTTCTGAATGTACCTCTAGTGCTCCCGAAGTTCGTGTAGGCAGAGGTTTATAACTTGTTTAAAAGCATCTCCGTCGGGCGTCAGTGTCGAAATTCGGTTCTTCAAGAAATGCTCTTGATATATGTTCATTAGTACACTGGACACAAATCACATTTGGGAAATTAATCACGGGCGTTTATATATAACCCTGAACCACTCAGATTGTTCAACGGGCAAAATTAAAGTCTTACATGGACCAATCATAAAAACACAATTGATGCAGTAAAAAACGATCAATTCAAACAACACTCCAACACAGTCAGGATAGTATTCATCTATCTCGCAAAAAGCTTGGCCCTTGTATCTAACATCCGGCGAATTGGGCGAGGGAGAGGGGACTTAACATCAGACGTGATTCAAATACGGGAAATGAATTGGGAGGCTGCGAGAGAAATGATCTTCTCAATGTGCCTGGCGAAGCCGTCAACAGACAGTCCAGAAGAACGGCAGATGTGTAGTTGCAGAAACCGGTTTACAGACCTGAAAATTGTTGTGTGCATTGTGATTGTATTGTGTATTTTATATAAGTTTTGCAAGCGCTGGAGCTCACATTCCAGTTAAAAATCATACACGCTAACCGTCACAATGTACATATTCTACGGCGAGAAAAGTTTTTGCAGGCATGGGGGCATCCATAATCCAAGGTTAAGACAAAGTTCACTTATTGTTCGCTCTTTGTTTATGAGTAGACGAGCAAGATACGCTATGGATGAATTGCGGTATGCTATAATTCGAGATGAAATTTGGCGGAACTGGGAGCGTGTTGAATGATGGGAATGACAAAGTGTCAGTTCTGCATGGACAGGCAAATTTCATACAGGAAGTAACGTAATACTCTGAAAGCTTTACAGCTCATTCATTCACAGGAATGGAAGAGACATGAATAATAATGGTTAGACCGCGGCGTAAGAATTCGAAGTCCTGTTTGAGTAAACCAGGAAAAATAACCGGGGAAGAGTAGAGTAAGATGACGAAAACACATTGATAAACAAAAGTAGAAATAACTGACTGGGTTGCACGAAACTGCCTGAGCTTCCGCATTTGAAATGAAAGGCGTCGCAGTTTACCAATGC